CCGCCCTGACTCCAGAGGCACCCCCAGGCACCCCCAGGAGGGACGCCCAGGAGTCACCCACAGGCACCCCCAGGAGGGACGCCCAGGAGTCGCCCACAGGCACCCCAGGAGCCGGGGGTTCCTGCCACAGCTGCCAGCACCGCCGGTGCCTCCGCAGGTAATTTGGGGTTAACGATTTCTGCTCTACCTTCATCGACAATGCATAACAAAAATTTCAAAAATAACCATGGAGAAGGGGAGGAGGGCAGAGCTGTTAAGAAGCCTGTTATATATTTGCACATCTTCATAGCTCCTTAAAAAGCTGTGCTGGCACACTGAAGGATTTATCTTATTGTACTTCCAGTAACGACCGAACGCTCCATCCATTACCCCTTGACAGATGCAAAGCAGATACCGGTAATACAATAACATCAACTTTTCTAACACAGATAGGAGAGGAATTCCTCCCTTCTACCTCAGTACAAACCAAGCAAAACCAGATTTGGTAGAAGCCATATATACTTTATATACCTATTATAACTTTATAATAAGCAAAAAATACTAGTAAACTAGTATTACTGGTTATAATACTAAAATAGGCATTACTGATTGATTAATGTGCTAAGCCACACACCAAAGCAGTTATATGACATTACAAATTTCCAAGGCCTAAGATTAAATAATATTAATAATATTCTCATTTTTGTTGCCTCTTCCATCAGGAAGCTTGCTATAGCAGCGACTGTAATACAGTAATGCAGAGAGATTGCAATGAAATACGGGATTATGGCAAATAAAGTTCTCCTTACCCTGTTTCTTGCCTTTATCCTTTTATAAACAAAATCAGGGAATGTCTTTCTAGGAATGAAGCGACCTGACCCCTGGGTGACAAACAGGTTTCCATCTTCAAGAACAACTTTTCCTTGACTTATGACCACGGTAGGAACCCCGTGGCACTCTGTCCCTTCAAATATGTTGTACTCCACGTTCTGGAAAGAACAAACCGAGATACTCAATATGGTTAAGATTTAAGAAGAGGAGGTGACAGTCTAGCCAACTATACCCCCCCTCATTCTTCTACATTGCTTCCCGTGCACGATCAGTTGGACTTAACTAACCCTTTATGTTTCAAGTAGTAAGATTCATCTAATTGGATGAACTAAAGCAAACTGGAATGGAGAAACGAAATCCTCAGAACACCCAGCACTTGCCCAAAAGATGTGGAGCAAACTAGACTTTCACTGTATGTGAACCATCAATTCTCTCAGCCCCAGAAGAGCCCTGCTTACATTCTCCATTTGGGGACAGAAGTTCTTGTCATTTCTTCCAAGTCACTGCAAGTTTTCTACCAAAATAAGTATGGAAAGTCAGGTCTGTTTTCTGGGAAATGCAAAATCGTGCCCCTTTCTTCAAATGCTCCCATTTCTATCACTAACAAACTACCCAAAAAAAACCCAAACCACTTTACAGTGAAAAAATGCAGCATTATAAAAAAACCAAAAGTGAACTTTCTGGATGAAATCCTCCCCTATTCTTCTTTTATAAAGAAAACAAACACCTGCATATTTCAATCATAATGATAATTTTCTTCCATAAAAAACATTTTGGTGAAAACACCCACATGGGTCAAAATGTTTCTACATTAACTTCAATGAGCGCTGTCGCCACCATTCCTCACCCTCCCCTTTCCACTGCAGCTTTCCGTCTGCAGCTCACAGCGGGAGTTAATCTGGGGACGCCCAGGGCCTGTAAAGCCACGGCTGAACTGCCATGAAGATGTGCCCCAATGTGCCCCGAGTGACCGACCCCTACGGACAGCAGCGCCCGTGGAGCCACGCGGGAAGGGTGCTGATCCATTAAACTATACCAAAACGGTTTAATACTGCAACCAAGTGCAGCACTCATGTTTTTCTAGTCCACAGCGGACACATTGGTGTTAAAATGTCTGTACCAGACGCAGACGGTCTCAGAGTAGTCACTGCTACTCAGTTACAATCCCCTCCTTCACAGTAACCAAAGGCTACTTCCATTTGCCTGTATTTTTAAAAGCAAACGCAAGGTCCTGATCACTTTGTCCACATAAACAGCTCCTCCCTCCTGAATGATATGATCTTTCTGATCTGAAGAAAAATATTGCTTCACTGCTTTCTTCTGACTCCAGAATCAGCTCAAGAAAATAATTTTTAAAATATTTTACCAGATTGTGGGTTTTTGCCGAGATTATTTTTGTAGCCTTGGGGTTCCACAAAACCAGGTCTGCGTCAGCGCCCACGGCGATGCGTCCCTTCCTGGGGTAGCAGTTGAAGATCTTGGCAGCATTGGTACTGGTCACTGCTACAAAATCGTTCTCGTCCATCTTCCCGGAGACCTGGGACAGCGAAGGGAGGAAGGACCGTCACCGGGGACGCGCCCTGCTCCCCGCAGAGGCAGCAGCCCCGTCCCCGTGGCTGGACCCCGCTCTCCCACCAGCAGGAAGAGCTCTCCCACCAGGCACTGGGAGAAGAAACCCCAGGATCCAACCGTGCGACCGTGCGGTGGGAGGATCCTCAGGGCTGCAATTACAGGGAAAAGGGAGGCATGGGGGGCTGCGCCTTGTCCCTGTGGGGCAAGTAACGCAATAGATGGGGTTTATTTTCCCCAGACTCTGTGAGATTTAAGGTCTCTGCAAAATAAGACTTTCACTGGTAGGCTCCAACTCCCTGTACAGGCGTGTCACGTCCACCAAAGACGGTTAAGTGTATTTCCATGAAGACGGGAAGTGAACCCGAATAGTGCCATTTCTCATCCTTATTTATTATCTTCAGACAAATTTTATTGACCTTTGAACAAAGCCTAGCTAAGACAGACACTTGGGGGTGGCTTGGTTCCCCAGCTCCTGGAAGCCCGCTCAGAGATGCCTGCTCTGTGGAGGCAGGTTAGAGCCTCCCAGGGACGCTCCTGGTGGGACTCGGTCCCACTGGCCAGAGGCTCGTGGTCCATGGCTCTCCCTCGGCAGCAGAGCTCCTCTGCCCAGCAGACACGGAGCTGTCACGGGAATCCGTCCCCACCGGTGTGGCCTGGGGCAGCTGGGCAGCCGGCAGGTATGGCCATGGCCATGGCCACCAAGGGAGAGACGCCCTGTCCCCACCCACCTCCCCAGGCTCCTGCGAGCACCAGGGAAGAGGAACGTCGTGTCTTACCCTTAGGAAAATTTGTTGGAGAGACTTTTGCTTGTGACTGCAGGTGAGAGCAGGGTGGATGGTCCCCGTACCGAAGCCTTTGAAGACACTTTGAAGGCATTCGAGTGTCACATTTTCTCTCATTAGCAAGTTCCTTTGAAGGAGCAGTCTAGACAATGTCACACCCCCTGGCTCGTTTGAATTAACGAAGCTGCTGACATCACCCAGCACAAGCACTGCGCACGTGCACTTGCACGCACAGCTGCGCGAGGAACCAGCGTTACTTTAGTACCTACCACACACTTTTCCCAAATTATCGCCATCCGCTCTTCGATGCCGTTGGTTCCCTCGGGGATGAGGGTGAAGTTGTCCTTCCCCACTGCCTTCTGCGCGGTGGTGAAGGTGCAGTGAGCGCTGCCCGCAACCTGCAGGTCCCCGCTAGGCAAAGCAGAGCGGAGCAGGTCAGAGACGGCGCCTGACGCCGCAAGCAGCCTTCTGGGCACGAGCACCACCTCCCCGCCCTGAGACACCGCGGGGAGAGCCACCCCCCCGGAAAACTGCCCGTGGCACCAACGGCTTGTGGGCTCGTGCTCGCTCCGTTTGGTACACGTTGGTTTCACCGACAGAGACTGCAAAGGCAGGCGGCTCACGGCCCGTAAATCCCACGGGAAGCCGAGGGCAGTTCAGATTGCCTCTGAACCTTTTTACAGGTACTCCGAGGCATCTCACTCGATGGATTCATACCGGAATTGAGCACTGGAATCGTCTACAAGATGTAAACTGCAGCCTCATATGCACTAACCTGGCCATCTTTTTTACTATTTAAGCCAACATTTTAATCGTTGTAGCTTCCTTTTGAACCTCAAATTATTTTAGGAAATGGTTCTCCAAGCAAGGTACTTTTAAAGCAAGGTTATGGTTAAATAAAACAAGACCCTGAGAAACCCAAATGTGCTACACCATCATATACTACAGCTGAAGGAACTGGATCCGCACCGGCAGACAGGGCACAGCAGGGCAAGGGGAGAGCTGAGCGCGTGGAGGCTCGGCCAGCCCCAGAACATGCCTCCAGATTTGTGCCAAAGCTGTGCTAGACTGACCTATGCTTGTATTTCATTGCCTCCTTTAAGGAAATATTAAATGTATTGAGCTATCGTGATATGTAAGAGATACTAACATGAAACGCTTTTCTCTTGTTAACAACTGTTTATCCTTCTAGGGGAAAAAAATCGCATTTCAGGGAATTCTAAGAAATGTTTATTTCTTCTTTATAATATATATTGGATGTAATTTTTTTACAATTATCTGGATCCATAAACATCTCTCATCCCATTTCAAAAACTCTTCCCACATTACTTCTGGACCCGATCTTTCTAACCCCACCCACAGCAAGCTGGAGTCAAGGCAGAGAGCTTTCCTGACCGGTGCCGCTCCGCCGGCTCTGTGGCCATCAACGCAGAAGATGCTCGGGCCGAGCCGCGGGCACCCCGATTGCAAACCCTCCGCTGTGAGTGAATCCCCACTTCTACGGACTGCTTTCTGCAAGGCGGCCGTGACAAATTTGGTGCGTATTTGCTGTGAAATGAGAAACCCTGGCTTGCGGCAAAGCTCCAGCCGTGATTAACAGCTTGACGGCTGCGTCTGTATTTCCCTGCCCGTCTGCCTGCTGGGCTGCCAGCGCCCGCCTGGTCCCTGCACGGCTCCGGGGATGCTCCTGCCGGCCCCGGGGCTTCGCTGCCTAACTCGATATGCTGAAACAAATCCGCATCGGGATGTGCCCTAAAAGCTCCTGTTTCACACATCTTAAAATCTTGCAAACGCCCAACACTGCTTCCGATAAAATCCTTCTTTCTGCTTTAATGCTAAAGCCGCGCAGGAGGCTCTCCCCGGGACACGG